AGGAGCAGAGGGAGAAGAGAAGCAGACTCCCTGGGGAGTCTTCCCCTCCCCACTCAGGGCTGGATCCCAGGACCCTGAGGTCATGACCTGAGCTGAAATCAAGAGTCAGATGCTCAACCAACTGAGCCACCCAGGCACCGCAGGGATGTGGATTTTTTAGGGATGTGGAGAACATCTGCACTGGTGCCTGGCTGGATGTGGGGTTTCGGGCAGCAGAGGAGGAGAGGAAGAGAGGAGTGGGTGTCAGCTCAGCATCTCTGCCCTCAGAGAGATGGGGACAGGGAAGGAGAAGCAAGTTGAAGGGCCCAGGCCTGAGGAGTCCCTGAGAGTAGGCTTGCTCGCCATGTTACCTTGGGCAAATCATGTGGCCACCGCAAGCCTCCATCCGTGTACGGACAAAATGGAGGAGATGAGCACGAGATGAAGTGGTGTTTACAGGGTGCTCGTCCCCACGCTTGGCACGGACCACAGGCTGGACGAACATCAGCACTTCGAGCGCGAGGTTTGATTTGGACAATCCCAGCAGTTCTCAACTGGGGCAGATGATCCCCCTAGGGGACATTTGGCAATGTCCAGAGATACTTTTGGTTGTCACATTATGGAGGGGAGGATCTATTGGCATCTAGTCAGCAGAGGCCATGGATGCTGCTAAACATCCTAGAGTGCACAGCACAGCCCCCACCACAGAGAAACAATCCTGCCCCAGATGTCAGCAGTGCTGAGGCTGAGAAGCCCTGCCTGCCAAGGAGAGGCACCGGGAGGCAGCTGGGCCCATCATGAGAAGTGCATCCCTGAGTCACCTGTCCTGGGAAGACATGGATGCCCAGGGAGTGGGTCATTGAGGTCACCCGGGAGGAGGTGGACAGGGAATGGGTTGACAGAAGCATGGATCACAGCTGCATTTAGAGAGAGCAGGCAGAGGCATGAAGCTGGAGGGAGAGATGAGCCACATCTGGGAGGTTGAGGAAGAGTGGTAATAGGTACAGTCACCACCGCCTGTGCCCAGAGGTCAAGAGGCCCAGGGCCTGGGAAGGGACAGGGCTCTGTGGTTCCCAGGCACCAGAGTCCTCAGCCTGGTAGCAACCAACAAACTATAATCTAAGTGGGAAGATAAGACATGGAAGTGGTGGCCAGATTAGGGAGATGGTACCAGAAAAATGTGTGGAAGTGGACAAAGGAGGAGCATGGCAGGAGTGAGAGGAAGCGTTTTTCCTGGGCCTCCAGAAGCTCACAGCAGACTTTTTGGGGGCAGAGACAAAAAGAAGAGCAATCTCCTCCAACACTGTTGGTGAAGATGTAAAATGGTGCAGCCACTATGAGAAACAGTTTAGCAGTTCCTCAAAAAGCTAAACATAGAATTACCATATGAGCCAGCAATTCTACTCCTAAGTACATAGCCAAAAGAAGCGAAAACAGGGACTCGGTGTCCCTGCATGTTCATATGTCCACACGCATTCATAGCAGCACAATTCATGGTCGCCAAAAGGTGGAAGCAACCCAACTATCCATCAACGGAGAAATAAATAAACAAATGTGGTCCATCCATATGGTGGAATATTACTCAGTCATGAAAAAGAACGAGGCCCTGACACGCACTACCCCATGGGTGAACCTCGAAAACATCATGCTGAGTGAAAGAAGCTGGGCACAAAAGGTCACACATTGTATGACTGCATTTCTGTGAAATGTCCGGAAGAGGTAAATCCACAGAGATAGAGCACATTAGGGATGGCCAGTGACGGGCGGAGGGGGCAGGGAGAAGTGAAGCCCATATGCAAGGAGAATGAGTACAAGATCTCCTCTTGGGATGATGGAAAAATTTTGGAACTAGACAGAAGTGATGTGGTTGCACAATATTTGTGAATGTAATGCCACTGAATATAAGCTTCAAGATAGTTAACTTTTTTTTTTAAGATTTTATCTATTTTGGAGCACCTGGGTGGCTCAGTCGGTTAAGCGACTGCCTTCAGCTCAGGTCATGATCCCAGGGTCCTGGGATCAAGCGCCGCATCAGGTTCCCTGCTCGGCGGGAAGCCTGCTTCTCCCTCTCCCAGTCACCCTGCTTGTGTTCCCTCTCTCGCTGTCTCTCTCTCTCTCTCTCTGTCAATTAAATGATAAATGAATAAAATTTATTTAATTGACAGAGAGAGAGAGAGCACAAGCAGGGGGAGTGGGAGAGGGAGAAGCAGGCTCTCTGCACAGCAGGGAGCCCGATGCGGGCTCGATCCCAGGACCCTGGGATCATGACCTGAGCCGAAGGCAGACGCTTAACGACTGAGCCACCCAGGTGCCCCTCAAGATGGTTAACTTTATATTATGTGAATTTACCTCAATAAAAAAAAAAGAGAGAGAGAGTTCCGGCAGGAAACAGAACACTCAAATGGGGTAATTTGAAAAGAGTTTAATAAAAGCACCATGTCAAAAAGAGGGCAGCCAGGAACCACTCATTACCACCCCAGAGCCCTGCGACCTGGGGCTATGGGGTGAAAGCAGTTGCTGGAACTGGGCTCATGCAGAGAGAGGACTGCCTGTCAAGAGCTGTTGGTTGAGGGACACAGGCAGCCTGCATGGACCACACAGGAGAGGAGATGAGATATTAATACCCTGACCTCAGTCTCCTCTTTCCCTCCGATGCCTGCTGTGGCTTCCTATTGGCCGAACCCAAGGGGAAGCCAAAAGGCAAAGGTTGAGTGGTCCATTCAAGTCAGCCTCCCAGCACACAATATAGGGGGCAGAAGAGTGGAGACAAGGCAGAAGATAATTCAGAGATTTGAAGCAAAGACCCGAGCAGTTCAAGGGTGTGGGCTGAATGGAGGAGCAAACAGCTCCTTCCAACTCATTACTCACCACACTCTTGCTCACTCACTGCCACTTGCAACCATTTTGCCAAACCCTCCAAGGCCATCTCTCCCCCCTCAAAGCCTTTGCACACGCTGTTCCTTCTGCCTGGAATTCTATTCCTTCTCACCTGCTCCGCTAACTCCTAACTTCTCCTTCAGGTATCAGCTCAAAGGCCATTTTCTCTGAGGGCTTCCCTCACTTCTGGGCTCAGTTCAAGCCCGCACGGGATGCAGCCACAGCCCCCGTGCGTCCTCAGTCACAGCAAACTCACCCTTGGAATGGTTTGGTTACCCGGGAGCTCTGTGCAGGTAGACAGGCTCTTTCTCACTCCCTGCCTTTTCCCCAGCTCCAGCGGGCACAGGGCACATATTCATTCGGCAACCACCAAGTTCCCAGGAAGTACCAGGCGTTGTTCTACAGTGGAAATTCAATAAAGCATCACTAGAAACACATAAGCAAAAAGGTTATCCTATGCGATGTGTGCTTGTGGAGGACAATCCAGCGAGGCAAGGGCACGAGGAAGGCCTCCCCGAGGTGCTCTCTGAGCAGAGACCATGATCATGACCTGAGCCATGGATGGACAGTGCGTGAAGAAAACAGCCAAGAGCCCCGTGAGGCCGGAGCCGAGCGAGCGACGGAGAGAGTGGGAGGAGACAGGGGCTGGGAGGGGACGGGACAGATCGTGCCACTGGGAGGCACTTCGGGTTTTCCTCTGGGGAAAGGGGGCGCCGCGGAGGGTTCCGAGCCAGCCAACGAGGACGCTGACTTTGCCGGGGCCTGACTCCGATTTCACCCGCTCCCTCTGGCTATACCGCGCCGGCCAAAGGGGGCGCCAGAGCGGCGGGAGGAGCGAGGCGGGGAGGCTGTGGCTGGGGACCCGCCCAGCCGCCCCGGAGGGACTGCGTTGTGAAAGGTGGTAGAATTGGGGGTTTGTTTAGAGGTGACGGGACTTGCTGACAGAGGGAATGTGGGCGTGAGAGAAGGAGGGAAGTCAGGGTTGACGCCAAGGGTTTGGGTCTGGGCCACATCTAGGCTGGCGTTTTCAATGGAGAAATGGAAACGAACTAGGGGAGAAGGAAGGAGGGGTTGGGGAGAAAGACGGCAAATGGGAGGAGAGGGAAAAGGGGAGATGGTCGCAATAAGGCGCCAGGCGGGTGCAGGACACCCCTCGAGGCGGGCGGCGGGCGGCGGGAGGAGAGGGCCTGGTCTTAAGCTAGAGAGATGGACAGCACGTTCCTCTAGAATTGGGGGTTGCTGCTGGGGAGCTGGGAGGACCGAGGGGCAAGGACATTGCCCTCCTGGGCGGGGGGCGGTGCCTGACGGGGGTTGGGAAACGAGATTACCTCTCACCAGGTATGGCTGGGGAGGTGTCCTTCCTGGACTCTGCCTGGAGGGACCCAGCCCCTGCCCTTCTTCCACACACACCTGTCTCCATTTCCCCATGGTTGTGGGGGGGGGTTCATCTCCACCTCCCTCTCTCAGGGCCCAGGGACACGGGATTTGTAGGATTTGCCAAGTGGAGGCTAAAAGGTACTGCAGACATCAACAAGACCTCATGCCGACTTTCCCTCAGCCAATCAGATTGCACCCTCCTACACTTCAGTCAATTAAATGTTCTCCTAGCCCTCAGCCAATCAAATTCCTGACCCTCAACCAATCAGACTCTGCCTTCCCTTCTTCAGTCAATCAGACACTCCTGTCCTGCCTCACAGACAACTAGATTCCACCTTGGTGCTCCTTAGCCGATTGAACCGCTCACCCCTCAACTAGTCAGGCTCGGCCCTCCCCACATACCTCAGCCTATCAAAAACAAGTCTTTTGTCCCTCGGCCAATGAGAATGCCCCTTTATTCTTTTTTCTTAAGATTTGATTTATTTATTTGACAGAGAGACACAGCGAGAGAGGGAACACAAGCAGGGGGAGTGGGGGAGGGAGAAGCAGGGGGAGTGGGGGAGGGAGAAGCAGGCCTCCCGCTGAGCAGGGAGCCCAATGCGGGGCTCGATCCCAGGACCCCGGGACCATGACCTGAGCCGAAGGCGGACGCTCGGGACCATGACCTGAGCCGAAGGCAGACGCTTAACGACTGAGCCACCCAGGGGCCCCAAGAATGCCCCTTTAGAAGAAGCCTGTGGGTGTCTAGGCCCGGGTCCACCACTTACCGGCTCTATGGCCTGGAGTACATCTCTTAGCTGCTCTGTGCTTCTCTCTTTTCACCTGTAAACTGAGGGTGCTCCTCTTCCTTCCCTCTTAGGGTGGGCCTGAGGCTCGCACCAGAAAGTGATCTCTTCCTAAAAATACGTTGTGTAAATGTGTGTTATTATTTCTCCTCCCTCCCCCAAGTCCCCCAAAGCTGTTTCCTCTGCTGGAAGGCTCTTCCCTGCCGGACCAAATCCTATTTATTCTTCAAAACCCAGCTGCAATCGCCCCCTCTCCCAGGAAATTTTCTATGCCCCCTTCCCAAGCTGAACCCCAGCGGCCCTTCTGGCTCTTCCAGCTAACCTAATCATGACCACGTGGGGCAGAGTGTCTGGCTGCCGTTGTTCCCTCTGTCCACCCCCAGCCTCCCACCCCCCGCTGTTGGAAACCTAAGAGCCCAGAGCTTGGACCTTTTGGGGCCCCCAAATCTCCCACCATGAGGATGGGCACAAAAAAATATTGGTGTCATTTGAATACCTCCTGAGGTATTCAACTGAGCCAATGAACAAATCGATTTCAATATTGATCAGCTGTAGAGGAAGTCCAGCATTGGAGTTTTGGGGATCATTAAATCCCTTAAAATCATGTGCAAAATCATGAGTTCATCTTTTCAGGAGAGGCTTGGAGCCATAGCTTTCACCAGATTGGGGGGGGTGGGGAGTGGGGAGGTAAAGAACCTTGTTTTACAAACTGGAGTCCCAGAGAGAGGCAGTAACTTTCCTAAAGTCACACAGCCTGGTAGGAACAGTCGGGAATTTACCTCCCACAGCCCATCTGAGGAGCTTCCCGGGACTTGGAGACTGAGCATAAAAAGGTATTCATCGCCATGATCCAGTTTAGGATGGAAGAATATTCATATTTATAAGAAGAAGCCCAATGGTCAGTCAGTTGACAGACATTTAGCGAACACCTGAATGCTATGTGCCAGGCACTGGTCTCAGCCCTGGGGATGCAGCACTGAGCAAGACAGGTCCCTGCTCCCATGGAGTTCCCATCCAAGTGGGGAAGGCAACAATAAATAAATAAATGCAGAAGATAAATAAACAAATGAATAAGATACTGTCAGGTAAGGATCTTAGTAAATAGAATGAGTTCACAAGGAAGGACTGGGAACCTAGTTTACATAGGGCGGTCAGGGCTAGGCTTCTAGGAGGAAGTAATGTTTGAGTGATCCCTGAATGACAGGAAGACATGAACTGGAGCATTCCAAGCAAAGTGAGCAGCAAGTACAAAGGCCCTAGAGTGGAGTGAGGGTAGCATCCTCAAGAAGCAAGAGGCCAGTGGGCTGGAATAAGGAACCCATGAGGAGAGGAGATTAGAAGGGTTGGTAGAAGCCAGATCCTGAAAGTTCTAGTACATGCACCGCAGAAAGGAGAGGGAAGGGAGAAGGGTGCCCCACAACAGAGGGACCAGTAGAAGACGATGCCTGGAAGCAAGGAAGTGCCCGGCTGGTGCCTGTTTGGGGCACCGGAAGTCACCCTGCCTCCTGCTGTGCTGATATAAACTGTAGAACAGAGAGGAGTGAGTAGGTTGGGGCAAAGGTGATCTCCACCAGGAAACCAGTTGTGGTTCATGACCACAGGCTACCCCAGCCTGATTCAGCAAGATTCTGTGTTGTCAAAGGTCAGCTCCCCAAAGGGCAAAGCAACCTAGCAGCAAATTGCCCCCCACCCCAGAGGACCTCCCTTAGAAATTTCTCCTCACTAGCTTCCAGAAAGGTTAAGCTTCAGAAAATTTCTCAAAAATGCTTGTAGGGTGGATCCAGTCACCAGCTGCTGTGTGACTTTTGGCAAGTTACTTCACCCCCCTAAGCCTCAGTCGACCACTTTTTTGTTTGTTTGATCCATCATAAATCAAAGGCATAATACAGGTACCATCCTCTGCCTACAGTACTATGTTGACTCTCCACAATAAGGGAAGGACTTGGATTATGATCATTTATAGGTAGAGAGATGGAGGCTTAGAGGAAGGAAGCAACTTGCCCAAGTTGGGAGTTAAACCCAGATCTGTCAGATTCCAGAGATGAGACTATGAAGGGCCCAGTCCTGAGGCCCTCCTCAGCAAGTGTCCACCACCCAGGTGTCACTAAGCAGACAGGGGTTATTCTGACGGTCATTAGCCTCAGGATGGTGTGGGGTCACCTCTCCCAGCCTGTTTCCTTGGCTGCCAAATGGGGACTTGGAATTCTCTCTTCACTGCCTTTGTGAGGCAACAGAGATATAAAGTGTTTGGTGGTCCCTCAGAAAGTTAAACATAGAGGTACCATATGACCCAGCAATTCTACTCCTAGGTACAGACCCCAAAGAATTGAAAACAGTATTCAAACAAGTACAAGAACACACATGTTCACAACAGCACTCTTCACAATAGCCAAAACTGGAAACACCCCAAATGTCCATGAAATTATGAATGGATAAGCAAAATGTTCTATACACACACAATGGAATGTCATTCGGCTGTAAAAAGGAACAGAGCCCCGACACATGCTACAATGTGGAAGAACCCGAATGAAAGAAGCCAGTCACCAAAGTCACGTAGTATATGATCCCATTTATATGAAATGTCCAGAATAGGTCATTCTTAGAGACAAAAAGCAGAGTGGTGGTTGCCAGAGGCTGAGGGGAGGGGAAATGGGAAGTAATTACATAATCAGTATGGAGTTTCCGTCTGAAGTGATGAAAATGCTCTGGAACCAGATAGAGGTGATGGTTGCACAATACTGTAAATGTACTAAATGCCACTGAACTATTCTCTTTAAAATGATTAGTTCTATGTTACATGAATTTCACCGCAATAATAAACACATAGCAAATAAATAAATGGTGGGAAGTGGGTTGATAACGATTTTATATCACTGATTCCTTTACTAAGGCTGTGAGATAAGCACATTATTATTGCCATTTTAGAGTTGGAGAAATCACGGCACAGGGAGGGGAGGTGCTCCACCTAGGGAGTGGGGAAGACTGAATGGGTCATGGGGTCTCCCTGACCTCAAGCAGGTCCCACTCCTCTGCCTGGGAGCCATGTAGGTGACAGACACCCACATTGAGTTTACCACCCTTGGGCACAGGTGACTCAGCCAGAGGGCAGACAGCAAAACCCAGGGCATTGGCCAGCTTGACCTGGTTCTTTTTCCCTGGCCCAGGAGAAGACAGCAAGGGAGGCCCAGGGCCAAGGGGCTGTCCTTTGTTCAGAGAGAAAACCTGTTATTGTCACCTCTCTGTGCCAAGTCTTTTTTTTTTTAATGTAACACAAAATTCATGACATGATTATAAAATGCTAGAATTTAATCTCCAAGTTAGTATTAACCTCTTGAAAATTAAATGTAGTGAGTTATAATAAGAGATCTTGCCAATCATTGTCAATTACAGCCCAAGTCCTGTCTATACACCTTTGAGCTATGTATATTTCCTTATTATCATATTAGCATCTTACATTTGCATTAACTTGACACAACATTCTTGTATACTTTTTTAATTCTCATAGTTATCCTGTGAGAAAGAAAGCCAGGATAATTAGTCCTTTATTATAAATGAAAAAATAGAAGCGCATAGAGCTTCAGCCATTGATCTATGGTCACATTAAAGAGTCTAAGTTCACACTATATTCACTCTACTGATGGGAATGTACAGAGCATGTAAGGAGAATTGTCATTGTTCCAATTTGCTTGCAGTGTAGATTTGAGATGTGGGTTGGAACAGGTTGAAAAGATACTTGAAATCAATTCTAAGAAATTTGGGTATTTTTTTATAGATTTATTTTTTATCTTTTATTTTTAAGTAATTTCTACATCACACATGGGGCTGGAACCCACAACCTGGGGATCAAGACTCAGGCTCCTAAGATGGAGCCAGCCAGGCACCCTGAAATTTGGGTTTTTTTATTGTTATGTTAATCACCATACATTACATCATTAGTTTTTGATGTAGTGTTCCATAATTCATTGTTTGTGCATAACACCCAGTGCTCCATGCAGAACGTGCCCTCTTTAATACCCATCACCAGGCTAACCCATCCCCCCATCCCCCTCCCCTCTAGAACCCTCAGTTTGTTTTTCAGAGTCCATTGTCTCTCATGGTTCATCTCCCCCTCCGATTTACTCCCCTTCATTCTTCTCCTCCTGCTATCTTCTTCTTTTTTCTTAACATATATTGCATTATTTGTTTCAGAAGTACAGATCTGTGATTCAACAGTCTTGCACAATTCACAGCGCTCACCATAGCACATATCCTCCCCAATGTCTATCACCCAACTACCCCAACCCTCCCACACCCCCACCACTCCAGCAACCCTCAGTTTGTTTCCTGAGATTAACAATTCTTCATATCAGTGAGGTCATATGATACATGTCTTTCTCTGACTTATTTCACTCAGCATAACACCCTCCAGTTCTATTCACGTCATTGCAAATGGCAAGATCTCATTCCTTTTGACGGCTGCATAATATTCCATAGTGTATATGTACCACTTCTTCTTTCTCCATTCATCTGTCAATGGACATCTTGGTTCTTTCCACAGTTTGACTATTGTGGACATTGCTGCTATAAACATTGGGGTGCACGTACCCCTTCAGATCCCTACATTTCTGGTAAATACCCAGTAGTGCAATTGCTGGATCGTATGGTAGCTCTATTTTCAACTGTTTGAGGAACCTCCATACTGTTTTCCAGAGGGGTTGCACCAACTTGCATTCCCACCAACAGTGTAGGAGGGTTCCCCTTTCTCCACATCCCCACCAAGATCTGTCATTTCCCGACTTGTTCATTTTAGCCAATCTAACTGGTGTGAGGTGGTATCTCATTGAGGTTTGGATTTGGATTTCCCTGATGCCGAGCGATGTTGAGCACTTCTTCGTGTGTCTGTTGGCCATTTGGATGTCTTCTTTGGAAAAATGTCTGTTCATATCCTCTGCCCATTTCTTGATTGGATTATTTGTTCTTTGGGTGTTGAGTTTGATAAGTTCTTTATAGTTTTGGATACTAGCCCTTTATCTGATATGTCATTTGCAAATATTTTCTCCCATTCTGTCGGTTGTCTTTTGGTTTTGTGGACTGTTTCTTTTGCTGTGCCAAAGCTTTTTATCTTGATGAAA